AAAAAGAAAAATTATCCAAATTTATAAATAATTTGTTCTGCAGATTTATTTATTTATTTACTTACTTATTTTGATTGCTTCATGAATAAACAGATGTTGATGTTTCTGTCAGACAACAAAGAAGCACAATAAACCCAGAACATGAAAAAGGATGTTGATTGTGAAACAACACTAGTTTAGCCTCATTTGATGATAAGTTGGTTGAGACTGGTAGGAGTCTCTACAGTAGGTCCGAAAAGATAGACATCCTCTATCCTAACTCCCCCTCAATAGACTGCATCCTACCAATATCGCATCCTAGATCCACTGCCTGCTAAATGGCAAGATGGAGAGATGAAGGGGAAAAAGAGGAAGGGAGGGGGAGTGTGTGTTTGTGTGTGTGATGCGAGCAGAGGCACGAGAACTGATTGTTGCAGATGAGTAGATCGCTCTCCCTCTCTCCAGCGCTCCTCTCTCACACTCATTTTCCCATAGATACAAACACAGTGGCTCTGTTAGAAGAGAGAGAGATGCTGGCAGACGATGCAGGAGAACACATAACATGCCTGTTGGATCGCTGCTGTTGGCTTTGAGAAGCATCAGGTGAGTGGAACTCCGTTTTGCACTTGTGTTTGTGTGAAAGAGGGAACTGTGTTCAATCCGTTACCAGTGACAACATGATGGAGCTCTTGACTGTATTTGCATTATGCTGTATTGCAGACCAGTGGTGACAGGGTTGAACAAACACTGCTGTATTTGATGTTTCGTATGCTTATGCTCATGTAACACATAATGTGTCAGTTTGTGAGCTTAAGTTGTGGGTATTTTAATGGTGAGCTGTGAGTAAAAGCCATTTTGAATGTGGGTTAAGGTCAAGACGAGGCCAAGATCATCCATTTTTCGTAGCCTTGAGGTAACGCTGAGAAGACTTTGTTTTGGGTTCTTGACATGGCAAGCACTTTTATTCATAAATACAGATTATCTTTCAGAAAAGACACTTGCCTCAGGCACTTCCTGCTCTTGTCGCAGGAAGTTCAAAGGCTTGACAGGATGTGGAATTGAGTTGCAGAGTTTTCCTTAAGTAGTGAGCATTGTAGAATACTTCAGAAATGGATGAGCTCATAAGCTCATTTTATTTCAGATTCTTCCTTTCGGTGACAATCATCATTTTTTATGAAAATGTATGAATGTTTTGGCACAGTAGGCCTAATCATAACTGCAATATTTGTTGCAAAATCAGGTGAAACTGGTCAGATCAGTCAGATATGGTTTCTTTAAAAAAAATTTGCTAGCTTTAATTTAGAAACTATAAATATAAGGGTTGTGTGATATATTAGTACCATATTGGTTATCGGCTAATATTAGAGTTTTTTAATGTCTCAGCATCAATCGATATTGGATTTTTAATTGTACAGTATTGTTTGCTGTATTTTTACATCTAGATTGTCTTTGCCATCATCTAACTCTTTGTTAATTTTAAAGTTAATCATTATGATCGGTAATAACTTAATTAAATGCAGACTTTAGCAAATTTTTAAATGAATTTTCATTTTTCAAACTCTACATTATAATGTCTAAATCCACATATAAAATGGTTGTTTTTACTTTTTTTAGAGTTTTATTTTAATTTTATTTATACAAAATAGTATTGAATTTGAATATTGGCCATTTATCGGTTATTGGCTGTAATATGAAAATAATTATCAGTTTATCGGTGTATAACTGCAACTGTATACTTGCTCTCCTAATAGATTATTAATTTGGAATCTACATTGCCTCCACAAAATACCAGTTATTAATTTCACTCATATCTCACTCATAACTTGGTATTTTCTTTTATTCGATATTATCTTGAATAACTAAAAAATATCTGGATGTTAAGCTAAAAATGTGGCTGATACTGTAATTGGAGTTTTTTTTTTTTTTTTTTTTTTTTTTTTTTTGTACTTTC